GTGTTACATATATGTAGTATTCAACTATGGAACTAAAGATCATTTGAAAAAAATATGAAGTCAGTTATTTTATGAAAAACGCCCAAAGTACCCTTCGAAGACTTAAAAGGTTTACACGTATACATACATAACATGACGCCTTTTTTCCCGGAGAGGTAGGCAGAGATGTACATTACGGCACTTAATGCCTCTGTACAATGTAACACCCACTTTTCACTATTTACTTTATGAATTCCATGTAACAGGGGGTGAGCCTATTGCCATATACCGGGCACATTTCCAGACTCCGTGCTACAACTGATATTTTTTTTTAAGTATTTGTTTCGTCCGACCCGGGAATCGAACCTGATACCCCTTGCCCGGTTGTCGCACTTGCGACCACTCGGCCAATGAGGCATTCAAGTCAAGTAAAAGGTGTTAACTTTTCAAACAAAATTTCTAAATATACAATTGTAGAGGTATAGTTACATAGTCAAAGTCATTCGTGGACATAAATTAACAATTCACGAATTCTAGTACGAAGGGAAATTTCTTGGTATTTCGGTCAAGTCGTTTGTAGGCACAATGCAAAGCTTGTAAACCGTGTATAAACGAGGTGCCGCTAAATCTTATGTAAGTCTAATACTAATTAGCTGGATACATGTGGTGCATTCGCATTCAGATTTTGATTCCTTATTTTTGTCGTATATAGTCTACTAGCTTTTACCCGCGGCTTCGCTTGCGTCACAAAAGAATAAAAAGTAGCCTATGTGACATATACCAATACACACAGCGCCATCTATACCAATACTTTTGTTTTTCCTCGGGAATATCAATTATTTCCGGGTTAAAAAGTACCCTATTATTTAATCCGGACTTCTAACTTTACGTGTGCAAAAATTCAAAGCAGTCGGTTGAGTAGTTACGGCGTGAAGGTGGAACAAACAAACAAACTCACTTTCAGATTTATAATATTATAAGTAAGGATATATATATTACGAAATTCATGTTTTAGCCATAATTAAAGAATATTTTTATTAAGATTAAATAAAAGTAAGTAAAGTAAAACTAAATACAATTATTAATATCTAAATAATTCCCTAAAACTAAGACTTCCTTAGGAATCGTGATTTCTAGTACAAAATACACAAAAAAAATATTACTATATTTACACCCGGATTTTTATAAAGATATCGTCACATTTATAGAAGCTTATAAAAATAGTACAAAGTCATTGATAAATATACATATATAGGTTACTCGTTAATATTGCTAAACCATGCGATCTTACAAAGATTATTACAAGAAAATATATATAAGAAATATGCTCATTTCTTCATACATTTCATTCTTAAATATAGACCAAATAAGATTACTTTAGATCTATGACAAATGCCAATAAATAAGGTACATGTCCTTTGTTCCAACATTGGCCATTATGACCAATTGATTGGCCCAATACGATATGAATGACATAAGTTATATTTCATTCTTTTTTGTAAATAGAATGAAAATAGAATCCTAATAGATTTGAATGAAGTTTTTTGTATTATTTTTGGTTCATTGTCCGGCCTACGCATTTATTTTGTCAATGGTGTGGTAGATACCATCAATATATAGGGACTTAATATATGTATTTTTATCCTTTCTATAGTAGCATATCTTTTTTAACAATTTGGTTTTCTTCCGTATTTTATTTGTGGGTAGTGTTTCATCAGCCTACATATAAACCTTGAGCTTAATATTTCTATAACCATGTGCTCAAAAGGTGTAGGATTGTAAACTTAATTTAGGCATTTTAATGGGATTTTCTTTATTTCAAGTCTAGTTCCATGACAAATGACTCTGTACGATGGTCTAACTAAAAGTACATAAATAAAACTGCCTCGTTGGCCGAGTGATCGTAAGTGCGACTGCCGGGCAAGGGGTCTCGGCTTCAATTCCCGGGTCGAGCAAAGTACTACTGGGTATTTTATAAATTCTCAGTATTAGCACGGAGTCTGGAATTGTGCCCGGTATATGGCAATAGGCTCACCGCCTATTACATGGGACTCATAACATAAATAGTGAAAAGTGGGTGTTACATTGTACAGTGGCATAATGTACACCTCTCTCTGCTCAATCCAGCTATCAAAGTGGGGGCTAATTAAGATCCTATGACTGGCAGTCATGCCTGTGAGCTTCGGGATAGCGACCGGTATATGGAAATAGGCGCGCTCCATGACATGACGCTAAACAAAACTAGTATTCACAGCAATTTTAACACAATATGTAAGAACCAAACCCTAAAAAGGTGCGGCAAATAGCTCTACTAGAGTAATTCATCAGTTGCCGCGGAATTCTATAGAACAGCTACCGTAAGACCTTTCTTAGACGTAACGAGGTCAGGTCAACGGCTCACCATGGTTTTAGTACCCTAGTATAGTACCTAAACATTGGTTAAAAACACCATTTGTATATTTTGTATTGTATAACATGAAGTTAGTGTTGCGTATAGCTGTTATATATATTTTATTGTCACAATATTCATTTTTACGCTTCTAGTTTTCTGTTTCCGCGACACAATGGTGTATTGTATTGAAGTTTTTTATGCCTTGCCTTGCCTTGCCTTGCCTAATGTTGTAATTTGATCGTGTTTCGTGTTACTTAGGTTATTTTCGTTATGATTTTATGTTAACATCGTATGGGGTCGTGGTGTTATTGAAATATTACCGTTTTGTCAGTCGTAAGTAAGCTGTAAAAGTTGATTTACCAATTTGTTGTTTCGTGGCAACTGGAATTATATTGTAGTGGTGTCGTGATAAAGTTTTTATGACGATTCTGATAAATTGGTAGTGTAAAACTTGATTTATGGTATTTATTGTTATGGTTTCTACACACACATTCCAGACTGCAAAGTCAAAGTATTTATTTCAATTAATCCTAAATTAGGCACTTTTGTAACGTCAAAAAATTGAATTGTCCGACTATCTGTAAGCTAGGCGCTTGTTCCAAAGTGTAGTTTCGAATGGAGGCGCAAGAAACTCCATCGTTACCTTACGCTCCTCTAACTACTTATGTGAAACCGTAACAAAAAGAACAAACCCAATGTGAGTTATTAAACAATAGAGTTTTTCTTAAAAAGTAAAAGTTGTAAGTTTTCTATTCGATGCCTAAAACACAATTACAATTACACTTAACGTCTACAAGCATGCATGAAAAGACTGACGATAAAACGAAAGAGGTATGTATGAATCGTAGCAATTGGCGTCCCATAGAAGACAGGTGTGAGGTTATGTACATATAATGTATGCATAAGACAGTTACATTAAAACCAACTTTTATTACACTTGAAAAATTTGCATAAAATCATGAAAGAACTAACGTCCCAGTAGGTAGCCTTAATACACGCATTAAATTATTCACACATTAATCAAGAAAATACGAATCGATACGTGGGTGTTGCATAACGTGTTGCTCAACACGTTGCACGACACGTTGCAAGACAGGGTCTTATGCAGGCCATAACCATAATATTATGGCTCATTTCATGACCGTAATTGCCCTCCTTTATAGCTTCTTATGGGGGCTTAGAATCGGATATCTGACCTTGCAGCTATAGTGCATTAAAGATGCATTGAGTATTGAACTGACCGTGAAGTAGAACATAAAATCAGTTTGAAAATAAGGCTTTCTTTCGGTTATATGATTTTTTTGATATCGTAACCCTAGTTCATGTTTCTTTCTAATTGGATTACTATAGTAAATTAACCAACTCAGATTGAAACGGGACCTTGTACTTACGTAACATACTTCTCAATTTAATTTACGACTAAATTATCGAGGCTGTGATATTTTTATGACGAAACTAATCACGAGCCACGTCATACAACAGTTTTACTGTTCTGTGTACACACTCAGCCTGATTATGTTACTAAGAATAAGGATACTGAAGGCCATCGTGAGATATTTGTGTTTACCTTTGTGGCAGACACGTGTCAGTGCTAAGCACTGACATCTAGACCTCCGGGGAACACTCCTAAGAATTGTAATTAGCACTTGCCTCTATGCCCCTAGGAATTTGACCTTTCCCACAAATTACTTGCGTACTGCGGAGTATGGACTCCTTAGACACAGCGTGACACCCACGCGCCCGTTTCTCAACAGTAGCCACCTTCAAAAGAGTTTATACTAAAAATGGATTAAAACGGAGATTACAATCTAAGGGACGACGGTTGGCCTGTTATCTCATTAGTATATTTATTTATTCCAACGACCCTATTATGTAGTACTTAACTATTGGCACGACGCCATCGCGCATAAAATTATTTCGTTTAATTTCGGCTTTGTGTACGATAATTCTGTTTCATTCATAAAACGGTGACTACTTAGTAGTGAGGAACGTGAGCCGCCGCGTCGAGTCTGTGGAGTAAAGCAGCTCGCTTTGATCGTAGCCAATCAGTCGGATCACTGTCACGGCGTGTCGCGTCATCGTTGCCCGCGTAAACATCTACATACTTAGACACCATGTCTGTTCCCCAAGTATCACCATTGTATCAGAATCTCGTTTGTTACAGGATCGAGTCTCCAGCATGAGGTGAACTACACTGTCGCCAGGCGCTTCGTGACTGTTGCACCGATGGACGATGGAGTAGTTTAAAACATATTTTATTCGAGTTTAGTGGTGCTCGTGGTTGCGGCGGTTTCAGTATATTTTATTTGTATTCTACTAAGATCAAACACCTAAAGAATGAACCAAGACAATGTGGATGTGCGCCTTGCGGCTAGCGCGAGTTCGACTCGGCATGGACCTTTGAACAAATATCAGAGTCAGATGTTCATGACGACCGGGCAAGTGCAGCTCCAGCCAGAGCGACCACCGCGCGCACTCCGCCCCCTCCCCCCTCCCACACCCTCGTCGCGACCACTGCGCTAAAGATGGGCCATTTCGATATAAGCAGGGACCGTAGGAATTATTAGGGTTCTACGACAAACGAGTGATGGAGATTACGGATTGTTATCCTACCTGTGGGGTTGGATAAATGTCCTGTAAATCTTTGTCGCCGATGTTTGTCGACAGTCTCTATAGAAAAGCGTGTTCGGAATGTGCAGGTGAGACCCTGAACGGTCAGAGACTGATCGAATTCCGGCTGGGGGCCGAGGCCGAGTCGGAGCAGGGTGAAGGGCTGGCGGTAGCGTCAGCCGAGCTGCTGGTGCGCGCGGAGACGTCGCCGCGCGCACGCCGCCTGCGCTACACGCTGTGGGCCTTCACGGTGAGCGGCAACGAGACGGCCGCCATCAGCGCGCTGGCCGGCGCGGTGCGGCGCGACCCAGCGCGCGGCTGGCAGCGGCTGGACGTCACGGCGGCGGCGCGGCGTTGGGCAGCGGCGGGCGCGCGTGAGCCGCTACGCCTGCTGCTGGACTGCAGCGGCTGCGGCGGCCGCGTGCGCCTGCGGCTGGGCGGTGGCCAGGCGGCGCGCCCGCTGCTGCGCCTGCGCCTGAAGCCGCCAGCGGTGCGCCGCCGCCGCGCGCTGGACTGCGACGCCGCCGAGCACGGCCGCTGCTGCCGGCAGACCTACTACGTGAGCTTCCGCGCGCTGGGCTGGGACGACTGGATCGTGGCGCCGGAGGGCTACTACGCCAACTACTGCCGCGGCGCGTGCGCGCCCTTCCTCAACTACCACTCGCAGGTGGTAGAGGCGGCGCGACTGGAACGCGCCGAGTGCTGCGCGCCCGTGCGCTTCTCTGCGCTGTCGCTCATCTACTTCGGCGCCGACTCCAACATCATCAAGCGCGACCTGCCCGAGATGGTGGTGGAGGAGTGCGACTGCCCGTAGCGGCACACCTGTACATAGCCTGCCGCTCGACGCCGCTCGACGCCGCCCAAAGCTGTCCGCCGCCCCGCCGCCACCGCCGCGGCTCGCTTCCGCCGCTCTCGAATCCGATTTAATCCGAATCGATTATAAATAATATTCTCGACTTGTGTAATATTTTGTTCCTCGCGTTCGAAAGACTATATCCTAAATCGAATAAATAAATAAATAAATCTCCGTCTACGTAGGGCAGAGTCGCGTGCGCGCAGCGGGCGGCGCGCGTCGCCGGGTGTAGTGTAGCTAGTATATTGTAAGGCGGGACGAGGACGGAGGACGCGCGCTGCTCGCTGCGCGCTCGCGACGCCGTGTGTAGACGCCCTAATAATTTAATACTACGCCGTTTTCTTTCACCCCGTTTGGTGATCGCTTGTAATTATTGTAAACTGTATTATAATAATTATTATAATTATAATTATAATAAATCAACTTTTTCATAATTATTACCACATTTTTTATTTTTTATCTTACCCTATAGTTATGTACATAGGTATGAAAATAAATAACGAGAACTCATCATCATCAACATCAGTGAGTAATCATCAAGACTAAGTCTGTTAAAATTAAAAAGGTAATAAAATATGGTCCTCATGTACTCAAAACACCTACAGTGAGTATCACAGATGTGAGATGGGAGATAAGTCGGTTGAATGGTTCAGAAAATCAACATCGAGGACGAAATGTTTACTGGAACAAAACGTAACACATTATTACGACCACAATGTATCACGGAGCTGCTGCACACTCCTTGGGAGATAATAAAAGAAATATGTTACCTAATAAAGGACAGAAATTGTCATTTCCTCCGTATAATGAATGACAATCATATGTGTTGAAAATCATCCCCGGAATTTGTTCATACAAAAGTAGTTCTAAACATTGGAAATAAGGTCTATAATGTATTTAGTGGAGAGCGGCCACCGGTGACCGCTTGGGGATATACGGGATGCAATAGAATATGCCTGTAAAAAATTGTTGCAGAATTAACATGGAGTTTGTTTAGTTATAGGCTAACGTCATGCTTTTTAATCCCTGAATGGATAGACAGAGGTAAAATTATTAATGTATCCTATATGTAATAAATAGGCTATGAGCCTTCACATCGTTGCGGGAACCAAGACAGTTATTCATGTCCTTGGGACGCGCCGGACTTCAGTGTTCCAGTGTTTTCACGGTTGTATCTACTGTAGATCCTGGCTTACAGGAGTTGCAGCGGTTTTGGGAGGTTGTGGCGGGTTAGAAGAGTCTATAATTACCGTCCAACAGGCACAATTTTAACTCCATGTTATTGAGAATTTTCAGTAAATTCAAAAATAGCCCAAAACACTTTAAGACCTCTGGTTTAACAGTCGCGGTTGCGGGCACTCGACAGATAAATCAGTTAGTCATTTACTATAATAATGGCATTAAACTAAGTATATTAAATGTTATATTGATACTCACAAAGCATCCGCATTTACTTTTTTAAAACATACTTTTTAAAAAAGAGTAACCAATTGAGTTTCTTGCTCGTTCTTCTCCATTCGAACCTATATTTTGGAATGAGCACCTAGCTTCACCTAGCTTCACTGACGGACTGACTGACAATTATTATTCATTTTGTATTTGTTGACGTTTCAAAAGTTCCAAATATGGTTTAATTGAAATAAATGCTTTGAATTTGACTTTGACCTTTTTCTAACGCACATCAAGATACATCTGATATTGCAGTAGGTACATAGTATGTAAGCCAGGACATTTAAAAAACTCGTTGACCGAGTGGTCGCAAGTGCGACTGCCGTGCAAGGGGTCTCGGGTTCGATTTGCGCATAGGGCAAAGTAGTACTGGGTTTTTAAAATGAAAATCTTAGTAGTAGCACGGAGTCTGGAATAGGGCCCGGTTTATGACAATAGGCTCAAGGTAAAGGCTAAAAAAGGGTACGGTGACTAAACCATTAACCGGGTTCGTAACTTCTGTTCCCACTAGTTAGAAAAAAACATAAAAGAATTTCGTTAAAGTATCTCTAGAGCAGAAGGGATAAGTTGTATACAAAATATAAAACTTAGGGGATGTGTCATTTGAGTGTATGATCAACATATATACACTCACGATGCTTTCTGCCTCGCACAGAAAAACTGTGGAACGATCTGTCGTCGGCGGTATTTCCAACCGATACGACCTTCAAACCTTCAAGAAAAGAGCGTATTCCTTTTTAAAGGCCGGCAACGCACCTGTGACTCCTCTGGTTGCGGGTGTCCATGGGCGGCGCTGATCGCTTACCATCAGGTGATCCGTCTGCTCGTTTGCCTCCTATACCATAAAAAATATATATATTACATATCATGTACAGTAAAAAAGTTGCTTTTAAAAAGATTGACAAACTTGTTGCAGCGAGCCCTGGATGCAGTTCTCTCAATAATTTCGGATCGGCAGATTATAGGTCCCTTTATTAGGTCGCATTATATTAGCGCCCATTCATGATACGCAGATAATCACGTAGGCACTACGCCTACACTATGTCTATACAGCGATTATAATGATTACAGGTACAAAAGGAAGGCGTAACTTAGCACATTGTATAAACACATCCATTCATCTTTTACCCGAATACTGAAAGAATTGTAATTACGGAAGAAAAAGGTTCTAAAAATACATTCCTTCGGGAAATATGTAACAACTACGTGATATAGGAACAAGAAGTGTAAGTATAGATACGTACAGTCGGGTAAATAAGCTTGGTATAAGAAAATATTGAAGTTCCTGAAACATTCAGAATGGAGAAAGTGGGGTTTTAGTTGTAAGTTGCGGAAAACGGGTAATTGTCACAGGATTCTTAGAATCCGAATTGATAGAGTGACCAACACACGGATGCCGTGTGTTGTCTTCAACATAATAAAGAAATAACTATATAATGTTTTCAAGTATTTTCCCTGATAAAAGCTACTGCTAATGCAAATATTTCATTTATTTCATTTTTGTCTTTGTCTCCTTAAAAAACCATAGATAATAAAAAAATTGTTTATTCAATGTACGTTCTAATGAGGATGCTCCAAAATATTCAAAAATCGAACGCCTAATTCACATTTTTTTTTTAATCAAACGCCTCATACGAAATTTTCAAAAATGGAACGTTCGCAAACATGTCATAAATGAGCATGCTAATTTTAAGCAACATTGCCACACACCAATAACTGAGAAGTTCTCAATTGAAGCATGCTTCTGTGCTTGATTAGCATGTGTAACAGTACCTTGACTAGTCTGTCTATCATTCACTTAATGGTGGTACAAAGATACAAAGGTATACCTTTGTATAAAATTATAATAATAACTAGCAGAGCAAGCAAACTTCGTACGGCCTAAAAAAAATTTCTTACCTTTTAAACCTTCCCTGGGCTTCCAGAAACATTTCAAGGCCTTTTTAGCGAAATCGGTTTAGCTGTTCTCGAGTTTTACCGAGACTAACGAAAGGAAATTTATTTATATTTATGAAGATTATCATATAAATAGGTCAATCCCATAAACGGAGAGTTTCATTTACCTATTACAGTAATTAGATTATTATGCACTACTCATTATGTACCAAACCGTGGATCGCATTTCTGAGCTGTTACATCGAGACCAATAGTTATATTTTATTTGATGTTAAGAAACTAAATTGCAAAATTCTTTATCGATACACTTATATGCTTCCCGGCTCCCGTTTTCTTTGTTCACTGTACCTTATAAATAAATGATATATCATCGTACTACAATACCCCATACTACTGTTGCTAGGGACCTGTATTTTAGTATTTATCTACAGGAATAAAATACAAGGCCTACATGTAGATACTAGCTTCTAGCGGATACTAGTTTTTACACTTTCCCGTGTTATAAAAAGTAGCCTGTCTTATTCCAAACCATAATCTATACCTGTTGCAAATTTCAATCAGATCTCTTCACCCGTTTGGAGGTGATTGAGTAACAAGCATACACATCACAGGCTTTTTAATATTAAATTTATAATATTAAATAAGAAGTGAGATAAGATTTTACGTTTATTGTCGTTATCGTCACGACTTTTAAGGGTAGACAAAGATACAAAGCTGCGCTTGCCACTCGAACAACTAGCCAGTCAGAGATTGATATTATTAAATAATAATGTAAAAAGAATCTTCCACAATAAAAACTGTTTGACAACTATTGACAATGGGACTCTGAAAAAAAAATTCCAGCCTGTCAAACCAGTAATTGGGTACTTTCCTTAATCAAAATTAGCTGCGCCTAGCTTCACTGACGGACAGACTGACAGACTATTATTTATTTCATATTTGTTGACGTCGCAAAAGTACCAAATTATGGTTTAATTGAAATAAATACTTTTGAGTTTTGAGTTTGAGTTCAAAAATAAATTATTTCGACTGTTCAATACAATAAAATATTAAGTATACTGAAAATATTTTTTTTGTCACGTCACAGTTTAGAAAACTGTCGTTATTGGCAGTTCGAAAAAAATATTGAATTTAACTAGTTGGCAAGTACCCAATCAAATACATAAAAATACTAAAGAACCTCGAAACCTATTTTCTATCTACATATATACTATTCCAAGCTAATTTTAATTCCAGTAGATACTCAGGTTATTTAGCAAATTTTGATGATCGAGTCGTGAGTACCTAACTGAAAGATGTAAAGATCTCAAGTCAAATGAGAGTACCTACTTACGTTGTATTTATTTTGAGAACCTTTTACTCAAGGACATTAAGTTTAACATCAAAAGTGAATTGAATCCTTTCAAATCAAGATTTGAAAGTATATTTTGTATATTTACGTTTTGTAACCGAGGTCAGGTTGCTATGTGGAGTGTGGAGTTTCTTGCTTGTTTCTTTTCTATAGGACGAGTAAATAAAGCTATTTGGTCTCTTGATCTCCCTTAGTAGCTTTACTAGAATACAATTGAATAGAATGATTCGTTAACTTGTAAACATCAGTTACTAAATTAGGTATA